GCACCCAGCACCCTGCAAACAGCACCAGGACGAGGAGCAGCACCAGCCCCTGCAAGGGCAGAACCCCCTTCCCCAGAGCAGCCAAGTCTCCAGAAGCCTTTCTGGGCTCAGGGCGTTACTGGGAGATCCTGGCAGGGGACACTTTGTGAAGGCCAAAAGGAAAGGTGCAGAACTGTTCAGAGGCTGGAGAACCAGACAGTCTCCTGCACCTGCTGCAGGCAACTCCCTGCCATGCCATGAGCTACTTCCCACCCCTCAGACCCATTTCTGCCAACCCTCCGCTCCCCGGCCTCTCTAGGACCACTCTGCTCTCCATCCTCAAACCGGCATCTGTTGAACTGTGACACTTCTCTGAAGTATCTTTCCAGGATTTCTTTCCTTTCCCAGCACTAAGAGAGGCTCAGGCCTCCAGCGGCCTGGAACTCCTTCTCCAACTCTGTGAAAGTGGTTTTGGGGCAGTTTCTTGCAGCATCGAGTATCCCCCGGCTTCAGTACGGAAAGGCGACCGTGGCATTGCTTCTCCTAGACTGCTGCTCCCCTTGTACCACCTGCACCGTCTCTTGCTCCCTCCTTTCCCTGCACATCCTCCTCCCACTGCTCAGCACCTCAGAGGTGAACCTGAGCTGCCTGAGGAGCATCCCAGCTGAACGATGCTCAGCCACCCCAAAAGAAGTGAAATGCAGCATGGATGTGCGTTACTACCACTGCTACTACAACAATAATGTCTGAGTTAAGGAGGCAACGAAATGAACACCCAGCTTAGGAACACATCTAGCTTGTTATGATGGCCCTCAATGCTTCCGAGATATAAACACTGCTCTCCAGATCCTTAAAACCAGCACAGTTTTGCAAGATAATGATTCAGCAATGAAACACTTTCATGTAAGTGCTGGCACAGAAAGGTTTTAGTCTAAGAGATGAAACATTCTGCTTTAAGAGGAGGGTGACACCGAATTAGGTGCAGAGACATCTTGGCGTAATGAACACTGCGAGGCAAAACAAACACGAGCTGCTGCTTTATGTAAGGTGCTTTCAAAGGCTCCTCGTGTGTTTACACGTCTGGGGCTTAAGCATAGAAGGTGGGAGGCAGCCTTTAATCTGAAACGGAGACGGAGCCACGAGGTGCCTGTAGAAAAGGGCTGTGGGATGCTGCTGGAGCAAGAATGGCCTCTGAGACATCAGCGTGGCCACATCGTCCCGAGGGATGGAATGAGCGGATCAACGGAGAGCGTGCTGTGTCACTACAGCAGTGTTTCTCTTGACACCTCTGAGAGCCTGGCAAATATTCACCGCTCCCGAATGACAACTCTCTTGACAGATGAGCGTTGCTCTCAGCAGAGGAGACAGCGCGGGGAGAGAGCGCAAGGAGCTCTTGCAGCAAATCAGTGACACTTTAATTAAACTCAGGTATTTCGGTCTACATTTGCTAACAGGTTTTATGATTGTTGTTACTACCTAAATCCCTTTCTGGGTTTGAAGAAACTGAATTCCAGTCATTGCTTGACAGTGAAGAGCAAATATATGCCAGGGGGAATTAGCAAGCACACCAGCCCTTCTCGGCTCCTGTCAAGACACTTCCAACCAGCCCTGCCAGGAGGGTCATTAAGCAAAAGCTCCTGTCCCAGGAGAGACTATTCCTGTCTCCGAGCATGGTGGCCCTGGGTCTTCAGCCAGCAGGTCCTTGCTCAGGAGACTGCCTTGACAAAGCAGTCAAGGGCCCTCTGTCAGAAATTTGGAAGGACCTCTAGAAGTCTGGATACGTAACAACATTACAGCTGTATCAGCAGCTTCCACAATCGGAGCGACAAAGGAACAAGCAGCTCAAGGGCTGGACTCAGCTCACGAGGTGGTTTTTCATCGGCCCCTATGAATGCTGGCTAGATCCCAGATGGACTGGGGCTACAGGCAGAATTGTGATGGGGGGGAGGTATGTGCCCAAACTGCATCAGCTGAGAATTATTAGGTCAGGATATTTAGCTCTGACTTCTGAACAACCTGCTTTGGAAAGTACTTGTTGGCATGGGATGGCTGGTACAGGTGAGGAAACCAGCGCAGATGTTGGCTCACCGCTGGACTCATGGATATTCCCACTTCACCAGGACCCTCTCTCAGGTATTTCAGCTACAGGAGGTCTTGGTTTCTCCTAAGGTGGTCTCTAGCCCATTTGGTTCTCAAGCGATAAAACTTTTTTAAAGATTAATGCTTCAACCTTGTCGACTCAGGCTTCATCCTTCCATTTAATGTGAAAAGAGAGGACATAACCTCCCAGACACACTAAAAGCCAGTAATCACAGCTCCTGACATGGGCCAATTCTTGCAGGAACATCCACAAGCACCCTCACTGAAAGCCTTGGAAGAAAAAGTGCCCCCCCCAAAGCGGGCAGCAACATCGTTTCAGCTCCGGTGGTTCCATCCTGGGGACTCTGACATCCCCAGTGAAGGTCCACCCTCACCACACTTCCCTGTGTGCTTGCCACACTACACTTGGGGCCACCCAGCTGGAGATCTGCACCTTAAAACCTCCTGGATGGACTGGGCAGAGAGGAAGAGCCTAGCGTAAAGGCCATCAAGGGCTGGCGGGTGAGGGTAGACATCTCTCCATACCTTGATGAGAAACAGGCACTTAGGAAACACCCAACTGCTGCTGGAGGTAGGCCAATGGTAACTATGGAATGAGGGAATGCAAGGACAGCATTTCCATTTCTGAAAGGAAGATGCAACAAAGGCAAGAAAGAAGTCACTCGGGGTGACACAGGGAAACTCAAGCCGATAGAGCACCTAGTGTCCAGGGAGGAGGAGGACACCTGATCAGAGATAGCTTCTGCACATGGCGGGAACAGAGCAAGACTCACTCCCAGCACACCCAGCGTCAAAATCCACTGCTCAGACTGCTGACGTGTGTGCCTTTCCTTTTTCTTTTTCTATAACCAACATCTGCTATGAGAGCCCCAAACCACCGACTCGTGAGCAGGGATGCTCTGCCCCTGCTCCCACAGTACGAGTTTGGCCACAGGGTGAACTGCTGCCTCTGATGAGCAGAAAAGGAAAAGCAGAGGCATCGTCAGGGTTGCTCAGGCACATGGCTGGAGGGCCAGCCATCGGCTGCCAGACTTCTCTCAGATCACCAGCCTCACCTCACAGATGGGTTCATGAACTACCATGGCTCAGCTCAGCCCTGGGAACCAGCTGCTTCCAATGCTCTGGCTGCTCTCTACCTATGAGACCTTCTGCACCAGCACCCACCACGCTGACCCAACAGCTCTGCAGCTTCCGTGAGGTGGGAAGCCCATATTCTTTCACTTAAGGTGGAGAAAAGCCCCTCAATTCTCTAATGGGATGAGCCATAAAAGTAGCACTATAACTGCTAAAACCACCCCGCAGGAGAACTGAAGAGTAAGAGCTTTTTACAGATTTCCTTCAAACCTCTTACTTCAAGCCTCAGTAAAGCTTCAGTCGGAATACAAACACTAGAGATGCATTGATCTTTTTTAAGCCTGTTTGTCAAAACACACGCTCTACAGAAGCACGCAGCAGCGCTATAGTAAGGAACACTGACATCTTGGACGACTGTTGGTAGAGGTCACAAAAGCAGGGTTCTAAGTCCTTTGTCAAATGCGGGTTTGTTTTGTGGTTGCATCCACGATGGCTCCATAACCTCCTGGGATACCCCTCTGACCTCCCAGAAAGCCAGGCAAGATTAAACAGCCTGGAAAATGGCTCTGGCTGTATTTTTGGAAGTCTTTAGCTGCCAGCAGTCCTGATCAACATTGCCTCAGGCTGAGCGGACAGAGGAGCTCCCTGAAAATCAGACTTTTCTGGTATGGATCTATGGCTGAGGGTTCCACCTCTGTGCCCACTGCAGGCTGGGGCAGTGCTGGTAAGCAGCTCTGCAGGAACGTTTTGGAAAGTAGCAAAGAAAGAGCAAGTGCAGAAGGACAGAGTTTTTGAGGAGAAATTTCCTCAACCCAATTCCTTCTGAATCTTCCAGAAACATATTCCTCTGACAATCCTGCACAGCAAAGCACTGTTCCACAACTTCAAAACCACCTAAGGCATTTTTATTTTTTTTTAAGAAAAAAGGCTGTAATGTAAAGAGGTTCACTTCCTCAAACTGAGCAGGAACAACACAAGGTCCCACACGCAACATCTTCAGCAGCATGATACACAGCTGCTTTGTGGTCAGGGCCAGAACTCAACCCCTCAGCATGGCTTTCAATAGTTTGCCATTATCAAAATAATGACCGTATCAGACACATCCTTCCAGCGAAGAGACAACCTTCTTGCCTGGAAGGTTGGGTGCAAATGCTGGGTGCAACACCACAGCTGGCCTTCAAGTGCAAGCTCAGCTGGCATTTTAATACGGGTCTTGGGGGTTGACAGCTCTAAGTGCTCTGCTCTCACTCCCTTGCTTACGGACTCGCCATGGCAAATGGTACACTCTGAGTAACCAACTGCTTATGTTAGTGGAGTGGTTTGCAGGTCCTTTGTTCCTGTTCATGGATATGGTGACTCCAGAGAGCCTCTCCCTCTCCTCTCAGCCCTGCGGCTCGCCGCGCTTTACACAACACAACGGATGGAAGATGACAGGCATCAACGTCAATGCACGGGCTGCAGAAAACATGCTTCAAGATCAGCCCATTGCGACGCAGAATTGAACCCTTCAATCCTCCAAAGCAGCTCAGCTGTGCAAACCTGGAGCAGAGGGAGCCAGAGGTGGGAAAGGTCACCCCTGCCTCCCCCACTCCAGGCCACCAGGTCCTGGTTCTGTCCCTCAGGCTCAGTCAAGCTGTCGTGATTCCTTCTGACCTGATTTAATGATTTGCATATGCCCTGAAGCCAAAATGATTGACAGCCTTTCCCCTGTTATCCTCACTTGTGTAACTGCAGCAGCTATTCTTGTACATTGAAACGTCTAATCTTAGCAAGCCACAGAGCTGCTCGGTAATATGGACCAACCGGGAATTTCCATGCAATTACTCACCACCGCTACTGGCACTTACTTTGGCTGGTAAAAGTCCTTCTTGTCCGCTGACCCCAGGCTCTGCAAGACACAAAAGACAGATGTACTTCTTTAACCCTTTGCCAAGCAAGTATCGCTGACGAAGATGTGTGGTGAGCAGAAAAAGGCATGTGCCTATGATTTTTGCTGCCCGGTGGGTACGGGTGGGCTGGCTGGCTGGGGCAGGCAGGATAAACAGTGAACACGCCGTAGGCAGAGCCCACAGCAGCCAAGGATGCAGAAATCAAGAGCTAAAGCAGAAGCGTGGGCACGCGTTTGGTGTGAACCCAGGGGATTCAGGCACATCCATCTCTCCCCTCACTTGCAGGAGTGGGGCACCTTGTGTCAGGACTACTGCCTCCCTCTTGGCAGAGACCAAGCCCCCACTGCCTGCAGAGACCCATC